GTATGAGAGACTTCATATCAGACCAGGAGACACTACCAGATTGTACTTTTCTCTCTCTTGTCATTAATTCCGGGTGGACAACGTAAATTCATTTCCATAAGAAGAACAGAGTAACTGTAAACATCCATTGCTGGACTGTGTTGATCAGGAATAGGAGCTTCTGGTGCAGCATATGCAACATTGCCTGGCATAACAGTACCAGTACTAGTTCCTTGTACTACTTTAGCTGTACCATAATCTGCTACTTTAGCTTCATAACCAGCAGGTCCAATGCAAGGCTTTAATAATACATTAGGACTGCTCACATCTCTGTGAATAATAGGCTGAGGCTTAAACAGGTGAAGGTAGTTGAGGCCTAAAGCTACATCTTGAGCAATACTCAGAATCTGTTGATTGGTTAATTGATTTCTGTGAAGCTCCTGATTAAGACTAGTGCTTATCAGCTCGGTCAAGATGAGAGGATTACCCACTTTAGTTGCACCAATAAACTGGACCAGGTTAGGATGATGTAGTCGTGATGCTATACTCATTTCTCTGGAGAACATACCAAGATTATAATCTGAGATGATGATAGTATGAAGTGACTTGACAGCTACTCTTAACCCTCTAAAAATACCAACTGTAACGACAGCATAAGATCCTCTTCCTAACTCCTCCTTTGTCAAAGTCACCTCATCTTCATCAATAACCCAGTGATCATCAGTAAGCTCTGCTTGTTGCTGGTACCTATGAACTGTCTCTTGAGACTGACATAGCTCTTAATCCTTCTCCTGTAGCTCCATATCCTTCTCGTGTAGTTCCCTATCCTTCTCTTGTAGCTGATGACAATATTTGTTAGAGTTTTTGAATACAACCAAGTTAACTTTACTTAAACCAATAACTAAGAACTATAATGCAATGCAATCAACACAACACAGAACACTTATATACAAAACTGAAAAGAATCTAGAATGTTCTGGTAACATGTGTAATAATGTACATACAGATAAATAAGAATAATTTGGAATGT